GCAGGGGAGAGAGAGGCTCACAGACAAGAGCAGAAGGCTTTACTTTCGAGAACCCTGATCACACTAATTCTAGCCTCACCTTTAAGAATGACTTGCAAGTGTAAGAATGCACATCAGTCCTCACCTGCTGAGAACTTCCATGGGCACTGGCTGGCTTCTATCTGACCAGAGAGGCCATATTGCATAGCAGACTTTGTAATTTGTTTTGCTATGCTGGTGATGGAACCCAGGGTCTTGCACATGCCAGGAAAGTGCTCTGCCACTGAGCTATACCAAAAGCATGCACAGCAGCCTTTGAGCCAGAAAACAGCACAAGACTCCAAGGGCTCTACAACCCAGTCAGGGATCAATCAGGGTCAGGAAAGAGCTACCTAAGAGGGTCCTTTATGTGGGATCCTCTGCCTAGTCTTGCCACTTTTTTTTTAAGAAATGTTTTTGCTAGTGTCTCTAAGTTTTTAATAGGGAAGAGCAATAAATGTGTTATGTTCTTCCTCAAGGAAATCCCAACTTCACCCTTGCTACTCCCCATTAGGTAGCCCTGGAGGGCAGCCTCATCCTTCTTTTTTTAGTACTTTTATTTTATTTCTTTATTTATTTATATGTGGTGCTGAGGATCAAACCCAGGGCCTCGCACATGCTAGGCAAGCACTCTAGCTCTGAGCCACAACCCCAGCCCCAGCCTCATCCTTCTTGATGGACTGTATGAATACCCTTCTTGCTTCGGCACTCCTGCTCTTGGTCAACCCAATATCCATCCTGACACTGGTAGTACATGTTACCCACATATCCTGCTCTTCACAAGTATTGGCTTATGACCTGAGAAAAGAGAGTATAGACCAAACAGAAGAAGTAAAGAGCCTTCTTCAGAAGAGAAAAAACACAAATGCTCAGCTAGAGCATACACACATGCACACCCAAGTCTTCTCTTAGCCCTGCTCTTGCCCCAGGCATCACTCACTGTTGCATTTGGCTGAGGGTTTCTCCCCTCCTGCCTTCTCTGGTGTGCCCCGTTGACCAGTTTCCACTTTCCAACATCACCAGTTCTTGTCTTGCATGGGCCCACTGAGTTTTCATCTTCTAATCTATTGTGCTTTAATCCTCCATGTCCTGATCTGCATACCCACTGAGTCTCTATGCCCTCACTCCCATATCTCCCTCACCTCCTGAGTCTAACTTTCACTTCACCATGGATGCAAGAACATGATTCAGGAAGGGTTCATCTTCCCTGTAGCCCCTTCTCCTGTTCTCTCTGCTTCCTAGCTGCCATGAATGGAGCAACACACTTCTATCACACCCTTCCACAATGATATTCTGCGGACCCAGAACAATGAAGTTGACCCATCATGGACCGAACCTCAGAAACTATGAGCCAAAATAAACTTTTCCTTCTCTAAGTTGTTTTGGTCAGGTATTTTGGTAATAGCAATGAAAAGCGGACAAATACAAGGACTCATCCCGTTCACTCACCACTCTTTTCTTGGAAACACTTATTTCCCAAGGCCATCCTGCACTGCCTATGCCTATGCCAATTTTAATCTTCTTCCTGTGCCTCCCTGGCTCCTTCCTAGCTCCCACAACCCCTGACCTATCTTACTCACTGCTTGCCATGACCCACTTACAATAGTTTGCTCACACATTGATACATGGCTGCACGTGGGGTCAGGTTAATGCAGTTCCATGTCCACACTTCCCCAAGGGCTCTACAACTAGTTAGTGTTATGCAGCTATTTTCAGCCACATACACCAGTATTGGTGGTCACATAGACACTCACCAGATACAAGTCACATGCAGTCATAGGAAGGCACATGTTTGCTCACACCTGTCTAATGCCACAGTAGAACAAAGACTTACTAACTGTGATACATTGGCTGTGTTGGGCATGACAGCTACAAGTCTTATAGTCCCAGAAGTCTCCAAGGTCCAGAACAGAGGGGTGCATTGGCTGCAGTCTGCCCAAGTGCAGGTGTACTGTCCACTAATCTGATTGCAGAAGCAGGCTTCAGGTGAGAAGGGAACCACATGGGAACAGTGCCCTGGTGGACCAAAGGTACACCCTGGGGAGAGGAAAGGCTTGGCAGGAGTGGCAGAGGGAAAACCATACCCAGTCTTTTGGAAATATCTTCATCCACTCCACACACGCATTAAAGCCAGCAGTTGCCTGGACACAGAGCACTGCTGTGGAAGCCAGTTCTGCAGTTAGTATATACAGGCCATAGCTATGGTACAAACAGCACTGGCAGTGCCCACTGAGAAAATCATAGGCAGCAGGATCATGGGAATTAATATTATTGTTGCACTGGCAAGGCCAGAATGAGGGATCTTCTCATGGCCAAGGGTAACCAAAGTAATTGGAGGAGCAGCAGTTACAGTGGAGGCCAGGATTGGAGTGTATGTGGATTTCTTTTGGGCCTGTGGGTCACAATTACCTACAATAGTTACATTATAGCCCATCTTCCTGGTTGGGTTGGTCAATTTTTTTTTTGTTGCTGTGAAAAAATACCTGAGGAAAAACAACTTATGGAGGAAGCATTTATTTTAGTTCATGGTTTCAGAGGTTTTTAGTCCAAGGTTGGCTGACTTCATTGCTTTGGGTCTGAGGTGAGGCAGAACATTATGGGACTAAGTTCTACCTTCTACAGTTTCTAACACTTCCCAGTAGTTCATTCAGCTATGAATACATCAGTAAATTAATTAGCTTATAAACTTAAAACCTTCATGATCCAATAACTTCTCCAAAGCACCACCTCTGAACATTGTTACATTGGGGACCAAGCCTTCCACACATGAGCCTTTGGGGGACATTCCAGATCCAAACTACAATACTGGCTTACATTGCCTATAAGTGCCCCTATTTGTCCTCTTTTTGCAAAAAAAGGAACTCTGTAAATATAGGTGTCCAGACTGCAGCTCAGCATATGTGTAGATTTGAATATGAGGTGTCCCCACAAAAAATTAATATTAGACAATGCAGGAATGTTTGGAGGTGAAATGGACAGATCATGAGAGCTGTAACCAAATCAGTAGATTAATCCATCTGATGGATTAGTAATTTGAATAGATTATTAGGTGGTAACTGTGGGAGGTAGGGCATGACTAGAGGAAGTAGGTTACTGGAGGTGTGCTTTTGAGCATTCTATATCTTGTCCCTGGATCATGGTGCTCTTTTTGCTTGCTGGCTGCCATAAGCTGACAGTTTTATTATATCATCACCTTCTGCCATAATGTTCTGCCACACCTCAGGATCAGAATAATGGAGTCAGCTGACCATGGACAAAACCTCTGAAATCAAACTAAAGTTCTCACCCTTTAAGTTGTTCTTGTCCAATATTTTGATCAAAGTGATGAAAAGTTAACATAGGTAGAACAGACAAAGATTTGTCATGTGGACCTGATCAGATTGTGAACAAGTGACTAGCATTGTGGGTTTGCCACTGCCAACCATGCCTCATCTGCATGGCCAGGTACCCAAAGGCAAAGGACATGCCCACTTGTGCTATACACATAGCAGGAACTCCTTAATAGAGGTCATAGCCAGGGTACCCAAGACAAGAGGCAGGGCCAGTACTGCTGGCCCAAGCCCAGGGTAGGGTTTCCATAGTAGTCATCCAAACACCTGGGGACAGTAGCACAAAACACACACACACACACACACACACACACACACATCATAATTTCTTCCCAACATATCCAATGGGAGTGTTCATCTTTCACAGGGCTGATCATTGGTTGATAGCCCCATGCCAGACCTGGCCGACACCTGTAAGTGGGTGGCACAGCTCAACATGCTCATTGTAGGCATAAAGATGGCAGTATGGGAAGCCCCATCAATGGGTGAGACAGTGGTCACGACAATGACAAGCAAGTCCTAGTGGCATATGATATGCATTGCCCACTCAGAGTTATGGATGGCACTGATAGCACTCTCAGCATGGTAGTGGTATTCTGTGGGGAGTGAGAGAGCAATAAACTCATTCAGCAGAAGTAATGTTTGGCTCTTTGGTGAAGGCTCTTTGGTGGACAGGGTCACAGCACGGGATAGCTGCAGCAGGGCCGCACTGTCTGGAAACCAGAATCATAGGGAATGTCAAGTGTTTTGTTTATGATACTCATGATATGGATAACAGAGCATACATCAATCAATAATAAAAATATGTATTACCTGAGATTGCAGGAAAATTCCCAGAATGAGACTAAGGATACAATTAAGACATGTCCCAAAATGTGCTTCAATATCTCTCAGGATACAAATAATAGTGTTATTCCTCAAGTCTAAGCAAGAAGAAATGTTTATCCCATGGTTAATAATTTTCATTAAACCACCACCTGCCCCCGTTCTAAAGCCACAACCTGTGCAACATACATTCTCCCCACCAACAGACCCTCCTTTGTCTTACACAGGAATTTATGATGAAAATAGGAAACACATAGTTAATATTAATGGCAAATGGGTTGAGGTGCAGAGCTTGCCCTTTAGTCAAAGAATATAAAGACATAAGAATTGGTGTACTTTGGGGCTGGGGTTGTGGCTCAGCAGTAGAGCTCTCGCCTCACATGCACGAGGTCCTGGGTTCAATTCTCAGTACCACATAAAAATAAATAAGCGAAATAAAGATATTGTGTCCAACTATAACTAAAAAATAAATATTAAAAAAATAATTGGTATACTTTGACTAAGGATCAAAGAAACTCTTTAAGAAAGCAGTTAATAGGTCATATGAAAAAAGGAAATTACCTTGGAAATTAAAAATAAAATAATGTAAAATTAACATAAATATATTTTAGAGGCACTTCAGAGTAATAGTCTTTTAAGTAATAGACTTTCACTATTTTAAGTGTGCTTTATTGGAATTTTAGTTTAGAAGTAAGAAAGCTTACCAACAATCCTAGGTATGCTTTAAAGTTAAAGATTAATGATATAATTATAGGTATGCTTTAAAGTTAAAAGTTAATAATAGGTCAGGAGACATGTAGTTTAGTTTTGTAGTGTAGCACCTAGTGATTGAGGTAAAAATGTAAAAGCTTAATCATGATTGGCAAAGGTTACAGGAAAATATTTTAAACAATGTACTCAATATCTTAGGTAATCAATATACGTCAGAAAAGATTGTAACTCTTGAAAATTATGTAAATCAAAGAAGTTTCGGGATTTGAGGCTATCCATTAACTACCTGAAAAAACACCTGCAAAAAAGGTATAAAAATAAAGGCGCAGCAGATCCTTCTGGAGTCTGCTTGTAACTTGCAACCTGTCATCCCATCTCTTCTTCTTTCGCCAATGCTACTCATCCTTCAGGACCCCTGGATCCCTGCTGGGGCTGGACCCTGGAAGCTCTTGACCCCACTTTGGTCCAAAAGCTCATCACTGCTCCCAGTAGGCCCAAAGCTCACGTATTCCAGGTATGCAGTGGTCAAAGATATAACCAATGATGTGGAGACAGCAGGGACATTGCCCACCCAGCAAGTCATGCTTGGTGTTCAGAGAACCCTTCAGGTGGTACTCATATACTGGCAAGAAGGGCAAGATCAGATGAACCTCATGGTGCTTCTCCAACCCCTGCCATGCAGCCTGCCTGGTGGAACTTCAGATAGCCCCAGGATTCATAGACCTCAATCCAGACAACTCTTTACACATGGCAGGTGCACAACCTAGCAGGAAGGTGGAAGGCAACAGGTAGGGGAAAGTAAGCCCAGTCCCTGTATGGCCAGGGGCAGTCCCTTGGTCTTGTGTAGGTGGGTTAGGGTAGGCCAGAGGGCACACTGAGACAAACAGAGTGTCAGTATCCTCAACATTCTGGCCCAGTCCTCTCCCACACTGTCTTGGGAATTATATAGACTCTGTCCAAAACACTGAACCTTCAATCACACTGACAACCCCCACCTAGATTTCCTAATCTTCCTAAATTTCCTAACCTTCAACCTCTTCTTCCAGATAGTTCTCTCTGAACACTAACTCTCTCCTCAGCTCCAATATCTGAGCCTTGATTTCTTCTTGCCTCTGATTCTCTGAGACACTAGTAGGCAGCCAGGGGTCAGCTGGCTAAAGGCCCTGCCTGGTCAAGCTCCAACTCAGCTGTGTGCCTGGTAACACAGAAGTATCCCAAATGGAGCTTATGGTAGTGGTGGCCAAGGACATAGGTGTGACATAGACAGAGACCCTTCCCTGCAGAACACCTAAATAAGCACAGCAGCAGAAAGTGGGCAAGAACTCTGGACTTTCGCTCCTTCACCCCAACTCTCAGGTGCTGTCTTACACCTATTGTTGTAGAAGTCCCCAAAGTCACAGTCACAGGTCTGGCAACCTGAGCCACTGCTCAGACACCATAACTCGGACTCTAGGAGAGAGCAGTCAGGTGGAGCAAGGGCAGGAAATCCACATAGGAATAGGAAGGTTAGGGACCTCTGGAGTCATATACTGGGACTGCTTGGAGGGACAAGAAGTGATACAAAGCTTGAATGCTCCTTTGTCTGTGGCTGAGAGGGAGAGGGGAGGCCCTGGTGAATTCCTGTTAGGCTTCTCAGAAGTAGATAAGAAGGAGATAGAGAAAAAGTGAGAGGGATTGGGGTGGGGTAATGAATATAGGATTACAGCCAGAGTTAAATCTATACAAATGGTTTATAAAATTCAATGCAAGAAGTGCTGGGTGTGGTGGTGCATGCCTATAATCCCAGCTACTTATATCCTTGGGTTCAATCCCTACTATCATGGAGTTGGGGGAGAAAGGGATGGAGTTATTCTTTTGGGCTGTCTTCCTCTGTGAAACACCTTTAAATCCAGTGTAGAATACTGTTGTAACATGTTATAACATATTTTAGTCACTTTCTTTTATTCCTAAAGCTCACACCTGAGGGCATATTCTAGTTCAGGTAGCTATGGTGGGACTGACCAAGTCAGTAAATGGCACCCACTATGTGCAAGGCTCAGTCTACAACTTATAGTCACTATTTCTTTTTTCTTTTCTTTCTTCCCCTCTCCACCTCCCTTTTTTGTACTGGGGATTAAACCCAGGGGTGCTTTACTACTGAATACATTCTCAGTCCATATTATTTTTTATTTTGAGACAGGGTCTCATTAAGCTGACAATGCTGGCCTCAAACTTGCAATCCTCCTGCCACAGCTTCCTGAGTCGTCAAGATTATAGGCATACACCACCACACTCAGCTACAGTCAGTATTTCTATAGCCTTATACTTGTTAAACTCCTAGAAACTTGGCACCCAAGTCAAGTTCAAATTAAAGGTGGGTCAAGGTTTGCCAGACAACTGCTCCAGTGCCATCCAGAGACAGTGTTTGCAGTGACCTGTACCGTTACAAGGATGATAGGAATGAGTGCCAGGGGCCTGGCTCTGAGATTTGCACCTGCAGGTTAAGGCAGAGGGCACTTGGATTTCTGATAGGACTGTCACGGGGTAAATGGGACATGTGTTATCAGGTAAATGTTTGAGGGAAGATCTAAGAGGACATGGGGTTGGGGGACTACCCTAAGGGTTGCTCATGCTAGCAGCCCTTAGGCTCAGTGGAACTCATACCATAAGGACCAGGTTGTCAGAAGTCACAGCACTGCCCCCAGACATGGTTTCACAAACCCCCTTCCAGGCCACGCACAGGGTCACAGTTACAGGCTGGATCAGTGGTCAGAGGTTAAGGAAGCAATTAGGTCAGAAGTCACCATGCAGCAGAAGAATCAGGATTAGAGTTGGAACTGGAGGTTGGAGGACCCATGTCTATAGGATCAAGGGGAACAAGAATCCTCTGTAGGCTTACAAGTGGAAGAAGGCCTAGCCTGTGCTGACATAAATTGCACACTCCTCCATTCACATTGCCAGATGACAGAAACGCAGCCATGTCAAAGTGACAACTGTAGGCATGTCCATGCCACTCAATTTCTGGGGCAGAACCTGAGAGGTAGATATAGGGTGGGCTGACCCTTGGCAGGTTTGGCCAGCAGGGTAGGACACGGCACCTACCCCGGCACCTACCCGGGCAGACATGGAGGTGCCTAGACTTGTTGCATGATATGAGTGGTCCTGTTGCAAGTCCTGGTGGCACTCAGTGAACACCAGCTATATGGTGATGATAGATGCAAAACTGTACCCATTCCACTACAAGATGTCCCTTCCATGGTCCTTACCATTCCTTCCACATTGGCTGGGGCCCCATGTGCAGATGTGCACTTAGAGGTATGATCAACTGCTTCTGATCTTGAACTCATAGAGGACATAGTAATAGAAGGGGTGTCCGTTGAGGTCCCCCAGTGTATGCAGTTTGAGGGAAGTTCACATGGAGGATAGTCATATGCTGGAGACACAGAAGGTCAGACTTCAGGTGTCTCACATATCTATGGCTGGGATGGAGGGGAAAGAATGGCAGGCAGTCTCTTATCTCTACATTCTTGCAGTTACCTCCTCAAGCACCCATGCTATGGGATTCCCTATCCATGATCCCCTGAGTGTACCATCCTGGGATAATCATGTTTAATTCCACCAATGCACTTAGAGTTCCCTTTTTCCAGTTCTGATGTTGCTTCTGTACATCCCACTACTTCCTACTACCTCATTCTGACATCTCCAGGTATCTTAAAACTACTTCCCCAAATGCAGTAAAGGATTCCACTTTAAGCCAGTGGTACATGCCTGTAATCCCAGCAGCTCAGGAGGCTGAGGCAGAAGGATCACAAGTTCAAAGATAGCTTCTGCAACTAAGCAAGACACTGTCTCAAAAAAAGAAAAATAATTCAAAAGGGCTGGGGATGCACCTTAGTGTTAAACACCCCTGGGTTCAATCCCTGGTACAAAAAAAAAAAAAAAAATTTTTAAATAATTAATTAAATCTGGGTTGGAGTTATGGCTCACCTAGCATGTGTGAGGCACTAGGTTTGATCCTCAGCACTGCATGAAAATATATAAAAAAATAAAGATATTAAATAATAAATTAAAGGGCTGGGGATGTAGCTCAGTGTTAAGCACCTCTGGGTTCAAAAAAAAAAAAAAAAAAAAAAAAAGGATTTCACTTCTCAGTCCTTCACCCAAACTAGAAATCTGTATATCATCTCATTTAACCACATAAATTATTAGTATGTTTCATTATCTATCAACTGTCTTTCTTGCTTTCATGTTAGCTCCAACAAAAACCTTGTCCATCTGCCACCCATCAAACTGCCTAGAAAATGCCTGACACCACTGTCATGTATTTTATTAAAAAATAAAACCAATTGAAAAAAAAAAAGGAAAGAAAATGTCTGACAGAGGGTGGAGCTTAAAGAACCCTTATTAAATGTACACATGGATGAAGGGATGGGTCTCTGATTCCTCTTTCTGCTCTGCACCTTAAACACAAAGCTGAGGCTTTCTCACGTGTCTTTTCTCTACAGGCCTCTCCTCTTTCCTCTGCAGCTTGCAGATCCAATGTGAGGGCCCAGGATAAGCAGCAAGTAATAGCTGAAATTAAAGTGGGGAGGGAATACCTAGTACATGTAAAGAAGTCTTGTTTAGAATCTGTCCTTCTCTGGCATCCTCCTGGACTGACTCTGCTGGTTATGATTATATAGCTTTCTAGTCCTTTAACAAAAGACTTATTTACAAGAAAGAGTTCATATCCAGAGATTCCTTGATGCCACCTAGAGGCAACTGCAGGGACAAGAGGGACTGACAGGCAAGGATCATGAATCTAGGAGGGCAATGACAGGAGGACCACAACAGGGGAGAGTTATGAGGAGCAGTCATAGAACAGAGATGAGGACAACAATGGGGACAGTAACAAAGGACTACAATAGAGCTCCAAAAAAGGTCCAGTGATGGTTCAGAGATAGGAGATAAATGGAGATGGCTCCCCTTTGCAGTCCCTGTGCTCTAGGGAAACAATAATGGGAAGCCAACACAGGGACCACAATAAAGGACCCTGATGGGGCACAGCTAAGGAAACTGCCCTGCTCTGTCAGTGCAAACCCCCAAGCAGAACCTTACTTCCCTACAGTGTCTGGCTTTGTCCTGACATTCCAACGCACAGGATTACTTGTGTCCTCCACTAGAATGGCAGGGTCTAGAACTTTAAAAATGATCTAAGAGGAGGAAACAGGCTTTGCCTCTAGTTTCACCCAGACCCCTTCCCTTCCTCTCTAGGGTTGAACTTGCCCTGAGTGGAAAGCTCAATGTTCAAGGAATGCTGGTCATAGACAAGGTCACTGACCTTTTGGACAGGGACAGAAGAGAATCCCAGGAAAAAAGTATAAACAATTATTGGCAAAGCCTTGGTACATGTGCTAGGAGTGGGCATGGTCCACTCAAAGAGCAGAGCTGCTGGGTAGAATGTCTACAGACAGGAAGGGGGCCTTGGGTCACCAGGGATACGCATCCTTGGTGACCATCAAGTAGGGAGGCATAGGATCAGCACTTGCTGGGCAAGTCTTCAGGCTGGGGCACTTTTCATGATAATAAAAGGGGTAGAGATATCCTTTAGGTCCAGATGAATGGTGGCAATTTCAACATAGTCAACCTTTGATCTAATCCACAATCAGGCCTTGACCCTAGACTCCCACCTAGGGCCACGCCAGCACCCTTACCACTCTGCCTGCCACCAGGTCTTGTTGCTTCCACAGCCATTCTGGGAAATCACATTCTCCATGTCATGACCTCCCTGGTCTCGAAAGTCATAAAAGCAGCAATTCTTGAGTTGTCAGGGAGGGCCCAAGGAGACTTGACTAGGCAGGAGGTGCAGGTCAGCTTCTTATTCCAAAATATCAATAGCACAGGGTGCTCCCTCCTGCCCCCAGCAATGACCCAGACCCCCATAGGACTCTAACCTACCCAGGACACCCCAAAGAAACTGCCCCCACAACTCAAAGACAGCAGTCTCCAGGGCTCTCACTCTCTTACCTACCTGCAGGGTAACAGACAATACAATACCGTTTGGGGCCATGAAGGTCACAGGTGGATGAAGTTTGAGGTTTTGGTTTACCAACAACCAAGTTGCCAGGGGACAGGTAACAACTGTTGCTTGAGCAGCCAAGTGAGTACACCTGGCACCCTCTGGCCAACTGATCTAGGAGCTGGGACTGGGAGGTGTAGTTTTTTTTTTTTTTTTTTTTTTATGGTACTGGGGATTGAACTCAGGGAACAGTCAACCACTGAGCCACATCCCCAGCCCTATTTTGTATTTTATTTAGAGACAGGGTCTCAGTGAGTTGCTTAGTGCCTCACTATTGCTAAGGCTGGCTTTGAACCTGCGATCCTCCTGTCTCAGCCTCCTGAGCTGCTGGGATTACAGGCATGCGCCACCCCACCCGGCTGTGGGGTAGAGTCTTAAGTAGAAATCTGAAATACCCCTACTTCACCCCATCCCACCAGGAGGCCAGATCCCTCCTCCCCCTCTGCTTGGCCCTCTTGCAAACAACCAACCCTCACCCACTGGTGGCAGCAATAGAAATGGAAGGAGACCCAACTCTACCAGGAGTCATAAATGCTGGGACCTGGAATCAGGCCTGAGGGAAAATACAGAGTGGGTCCCAAAATACAGCCCTTGAAGAGGCAGTGTGGCCCTTAGGTCTTTCCCATTCTCACAATGAAAGCAGAACCCAGAGGGTAAGTAGCATGCAGGATTGAAGGGTTACAGCACAGATGGTTGCAAAGATGTCCTCAGAGTTTGGGGAACCAAGGGAGGACAATACACTCAGGGGAAGGACGTTAATGGTTAATTACTTAGCAGTACCCAGGGGCAGAAGAAAGGGGGCGGGGAACATCTAGAGCTTCTCCACAGGCCCACCACTCAGGGCAACTAGCAATAGTAGGGCTCAGACAAACCCAGAGACAGAGAGGATCTGATTCTCATCCAAACAAAGCTCTCCCCTCCATCCCTGAAATGCTGTCCCCAGGAGCCTTTGGGCAATGTGTCTCCCTCCCTATGTGCTCAGTCACTGCTATATAGCCTGGGCAACCAGTGATGAACCACAGATGGATAGGGCAGCTGGTTGCATTCAAGGCCCAGTCCTCCCTCCAAAGCAGAATGTGCCAATAACACCTGAAATACACAGGTCTGTGATGGGGGGCATGGTGAAACTACCTGGGAGTAAATAAAACACTTGAAAAGCACTGCTGATGAAGCAGAGATGGAAACTCAGATACCCTACACAACTAAAAAAATTCTTTGGTCAGTGAAGGCAGGCTCTATAGTCCTAATTGAATGCCCAGTCCTTTACCACCAACTGGAGAAACAAGCTAGTACATTCTCAGCAGAGGCACTTCAACCCCTTTAAGCTTGGCCCCATTCCAGACAAAGCCAGGGTATCTTTTGTCCCCAGTAGCAGTACCACAAAGTCTCCCTTCCCTGGCCTAAAATACTGCTAGCTGCAAGGTTCCCCACTGAGCTGCCCAGTCCTACTATACGGGGTCTGACTGGATAAAAAATAGGGCAGCCTCAAGGTGAAGTATTCTACCTCACAGTGGCTTTGCCCCTACCCTCGTGAGATGTCTCTCACATACCCACAGAAGCCAGTATCCAAATTCCCACTAGTCTTTCCAGAGGGGCCTATGCTTCCCCTTTCTGCCTTCCTACCCCATCACTCAAACTGACTGGGACAACTTTTCCTATATGCTTAAGCTGGCTTGCCAGCAGCCACACACACAATAAAAGACCATGGAGGGTGGGCAGGGAGACTGGAAGGTGGAAAGGTATAAAACATGATAGATGGAACAGTGGACATACAACTTGAAGAACAAGTCACAGTGCATTACGCCATAAGAACACCCCTCCCACTACCCACCCCACCACAAATCCTCCAGTTTCTGAAAGGAGACTGGTAGCCGCAGGGGCCCTGGAGAGGTACCCAGAATCCTCAAAGTTGCAGAGTCCACAGGCATGGCACACTGTGCCACTGGCCACACACACAGTTGGGCTATTTTCTCAAATATTGCTGTATGAAGGAATCAGGCTGTTGAGTATGGCAGCAATGGCTGGAGCCATATTATAGGAGACAGGTTCACACGGAGTATCTGTTGGGCCCGCTGTCGAACCTCATCATCTGAGGACTGCCTGTCTACCTTTATGGCCCGGAACTTTAGGAGCTTTGCTGTTGCTGACCCCAGCCATGACTTAGGAGATCGGGGCCCCAGCCGTGTTCTCTTCTTAGGATGAAGGTCCTTTGCTTCCTCAGCCCTTTTCCTCTTCTGCCCCACAGTCTCAGAGTAGGTTTTCTGGCCCTTCCTTGCAGTTCTGGCCTGAGCAGATCCCTTTGGCCTGTCCCTGCCCTTGGGCTGGGTCTGAGCTGCTTTGGCCTTGACTGCCTTGGCCTTGGCCTGGACTGCCTTGTCCTTGACTGCCTTGGCCTGGACTGCCTTGTCCTTGACTGCCTTGGCCTTGACTGCCTTAGCCTTGTCCTTGACTGCCTTGGCCTGCACTGCCTTGGCCTTGGCCTGCACTGCCTTGGCCTTGGCCTGGACTGCCTTGGCCTTAGCCTTGACTTGTGCTGCATCAGCTTTGGCTGCCTTGGCATGGGCATAGGCAGCTTTGGACACTGTTTGAGCTGCCTTGGCCTGGTCTGATTTAGTGCTCAGGGCAGAGCCCCCTTTCATTTGCAGATCACTGAGGGAACCAGTGGTTCTGTAAGTCTTGCTCTGGAGCCCAGTGCCTCGTTGGGGTCCAGCCCCAGGGCCTTTGCGAGTCAGACACTTGGGGCCCTTGTTTGTTTTTCTGGGAGCCTTGGGCTGGGGGTTCCCTGGACCCTTCCCTGAACCTTTCCGCAATTTCAGGGGAGAGTCTGCAAGTGAAAGTCTTAGTGACTGTGCTTTGTGCTTAGCACCTAAGCAAGGCATGGGAGTCTTGAGTGGAACCAGAGCCTCAAGGACAACTGAAAGCCGCATAGCAGGGTAGACACTTGGATAGAGGTGAGCAGGGAAGCCCACTGTTGCACCCTTGGCACGGCTGGCACTTGACTGCTTCAGGGAGCTCAGCAGCAGATTGGTGGTAGCATGTTTGGTGAGGGTTGGTGTGGACCCTTTGGCCAGCCTGCCAGACAGTGGCATGGGAAGCAATGTGGCCCTGCCTGAGGGCAGCTGAATGGCAGTTCGGGGAGCACTGGCTGGAGGTGATGTGGCAGCTGGGATCGGGGCACGAGCTTGTAGTTTCGTCTGGCTTGGAGGGTTGGCTGTACATGAACTATACCCATAGACATCACCACTGCGCAGAATGGTAGGTTGGAAGCCATCATCTCGCAGACCCTGTAGAAAGGCCACAAGCTGGGCCTCTGTGGCACTGAGATCCTGGCTCATGGGGTTAAAGACAAGCAGCGCCTCTTCCAGGGCCTTCTTTCCTGCTGTGGAGATGCGAGACCAGGAGTGCACAGCTTTTTCCTCCACATGCTGCACCACCACACTCATGGCATTAGGCACTGCAGATCTGCCTAGGTATCCGTAAATCAGCACTTGGCACCTCCAAGGCAAGAAGAAAAGAGTCAATAAGAATGGCACCAAGATATGGAGCCAAAGCAAGTAGACAGGTCTATCAGCGACCCCATTCTCTATGTCACTGAGGGAACTAGCCACAGTGAGTCATTTCCTGGGGTAAAACCCTAGTCTGATGACCCTCAACCATTTTGAAGTGGGTATTGATTAGCCAGTTTTCAGTAGCTCAGAAGAACCCAACCTGCTGCTGGGCTCCTGGAAAACTTTAAATCTAGTTCATTTTAATTAATTTCTACATTTTCTTTTCCTTCTTTTGAGACAGAATCTTGCTATGTTGTCCCAGCTGGTCCTAAACTTACAGGCTTAAATGATCCTCTCACCTAAGCCTCCCTAGTTGCTGGAACTATAGGTGTGCAGCCATCTAAGGCTTAAAATTTTTCTTTTTTTTTTTTGTGGTTCTGGGGATCAAACTTGGGTCTCTGCTCATGCTGGGCAAGTGCTCTACTACCGAGATAGTGTTCTACCACTACATCCCCAGTCCTTATTAAATCTATATTTTCCTGATGCCAAAAACCTAATTAGATAGCCCTGGGAGCACAAGCCAACATCTCTGTCTTCAATGAGCCTGGTCCAGAAGGTAAGTCACAGGCACCATTAATGCTCTTAGGAGCATATGGTGTAACCAAGCTTAACTTGCCAATAAGTCAGGAAAGAACTCCTGCAAGAGGCAACATCTACCTAGGATGAGTAATGAATAGAAAAGTACCAGGTAGAGGGGCTGGGGATGTGGCTCAAGCGGTAGCGCGCTCGCCTGGCATGCGTGCGGCCCAGGTTCGATCCTCAGCACCACATACAAACAAAGATGTTGTGTCCGCCGAGAACTAAAAAATAAATATTAAAAAAAAAATTCTCTCCTCTCTCTTTTAAAAAAAAAAAAAAGAAAAGAAAAGTACCAGGTAGAAATGAAGATTATACACTGGCTCTGAACTGTGAAAGAGTAAGGCACATCTGATGGGGAGTCTGGGGCCAGGCTGAGTTTAGCTGGGAAAACAGGTCAAGGGTAGGACTGTTTTCCCAGCTCTGAAGTTTTGCCAAAGGGCCCGCACTTACACCCAATGTCCACACTCATCTATGTGCCTCCAGCTGCTGGTGTTCAGTGCTGGTTGGGTGGGGGTGGGGGGTGTCCCTGCCCAGAAGTTCTGCTTTCAGAGGCTACTTGATAGTCCAAATCCTTGCTTTAGAGTCATGGAGACCAACCCCAGGCAAAGACAGAGACTCACTAAAAAGCTGATGAGTAACAGGTACAGATGAAATCTCTAGGCAACCAGGCAGCTTGGGGATCAGGCAGCCAGACCAAAAGCCCAAGGTTTGAAGACAGTGGAAGAAAAAGGCTCTGAATAGGATGGCGAGTCACAAGAACAGCAAAGGCCTGAGACCTCCAACCTCAGAGCTTAGAGGGCAACAGACAGCAGAACATCCCAGAGTTGTCTGGGAACACCCAAGTTGTCCCAGGCTTCTCTGAAGCTGTGTACGTCAGTCATGACTATTATCTAGTACCCAACCCAGTGTTTCAGGGTTCCCATAGGCAAGTGGCAGCTCCCCAGCTGCACTGGAGCATTAAAAGATCAGCTGGGTTCAGGCAGGTCCCTGGGGCCTTGAGGACTGGCTGTACAGATTGTTCCCACCGCTCTAATGGAGCAGATGAAGTCTTCAGAATCCCCTGGAGGAAGTGCCCTAGGGCTCTTTGTTTGGAAACATTCTTGGATCCTCAGGTGTCTGAGGCACTTCCCCTCCCCAGAGGCCGCTCTACAAGCACAATCCTTGCACATGACTTTTAGTTCTTTTATTTATTTATTTGAGGGGATGTAGTTCCCAGGGCAGTGAACTGTATAAAAGAGAGAGGCCTATTCCCACCTGCAACCCCCGGCGCTGATACTAGGATGACCCCGGGGCTCTTCGCCTAGGTCAGTGGGAACCCATGGTAAGGGTCTTCTCGGCTTTCAAGAGGCTTCGCAAACAGGATGCAGCCGGGCCCCGAACTTGCCTTCAAAAGTGCTTCTGGGCCAGCAGGGGAGGTTCACCAAAGATGGGGTCGGGTGAGGCGCCAGACAAGTGGAATGGTGTCAAGGGGCATATCGGGACCCTTTGGCTAGGAATCCGAGTCCCAGGAGCCCAAAAGGAGAAGGCGGGGCAGGGGTCACAGCGGCAATGAAATATGTAGGATGGGCCGTCCTAGCTCGACCCGGACCGTGCAGCCCCAGGGTGGGGTTGCTGAATGGGGGAGGGGTGGGGGCCTGGGCCAAACCAGCGGAGAACGCGGGTCCGGGAAGCGTCAGCCGCCCGGGCCCTCCGCCCTGCCGCCTCGCGGGCCGCCACTCCGCGGCGCGGCTAGGCCCGCGGCTCCAACCTACCGGCGCCGCCGCGGGGACCCAGGATGCGCCTCTGCGCCGCCTCCGATGCTCCAACATGGCCGCCCGCTGCGCGCCGGAAGTGTGCCGCGCTTCCGCTTCCGGGCCCGGGCCCGCCCTAGTGACCCTTGACCCCCGAGACCCCATTTCCCCCCAAAGTCTGGGGGCGAGGCAGATTGGGTACCCGGGAGGACTGCCTGGAGGTGGTGGCCGCGAAGACCGCCACAAACCCGTCTGGTACAATTCAGGAATCTGAGTATCAAAGGCACTCTCGAGCGCAGCCCCAGGCAAGACTACTGAGTCCAGGTAGGGCTGGATTAGGGGGCCATCTGACATCCTAAGAGGCCTTGGTAATGCAGTGACATCTGGGAATGGTTCCTGGCAAGGTCCAGGCCATTTTCCATACTCTGGTCCTCCTGTAGAAATTGACAAAGCCCACTTCTGTCCCAGGCATCTGACCAGAGGATGAAAGGAGTATTCCCTAATAGGAAGTGTCTCAGGGTAGCCCCTATGTTATGCAGCAAAGGTATCTCCTCTGAGGAGAAAAGGCCCTCCTGTCTTCCTGAAAATGGAGCCCACTATACATCAATGAAAGAGTGGTATACCCATGTGATCATAAGTGCTATATGGAAGTCCAAAGATATCCATGTCTAGTCTTTAAACCACAGTATACCGATGTAGGCCTGAGTATACTTACCTAGGCATATGTGCATTAATGTTATGGAGAGGCCCTGGTCCAGCCTCAGCTCATCAATGGCGCAAAAGTTCCACCTCCAATCTTAACACTGCCCAGATCCCCTATCCTTTTGCCTAGGAGAGTGGGACATCAGTCTTTCCATCTGCTATAGCCATCAGAGTGATGGTGATCCACTAACCTTGCAGCACCAAATTAGAGAACTCAGGTCAAAATTATCCCTAGGGGTCTGTGCCTTCAGATGAGGGGTCAGAATGGTCTGCACAAAGTTTGACCAAAAGCTCCATTTGTCAGGATCTCCTGAATCCAGATTGGGAGCCATCATGGGAGTCCTGGTTTCATGGGTGTGACAGTAGGGGCATATGAATTTGGTCAGAGCCTGACACAGAAGGCAGAAATATGGCCACAATTCTTGTACCCTAATCTTTGTAATGGTGCCATATTTGGTAGTTGGGGGAAGGTAGAAGTCTATTAGCAATCACAAGAGGATGGCTAGAAGTTTCTTTTAGGGTCTGGGTACTTGTCCTTTTCCCTTCCCATATGACCTCAGAATCCTCTGGCTGCTTTCTATTTCCTTGTCTTTAGAAGGATTCAGACACTCCTAAATATAAGCACCCACTCCACTCAGCAATGCCCTAGGCCTCACCTGGTGCCCTTAGCTTCCCAGGGTCTCCACACTGATACATAGTCCAGATGTCCAGCAAGAATTGCAAAATCTCCTGCTCCTCTGGGATTAGTGTTTTTAGGCCCTAGAAAGGAAGTGTGGGGTCCCACCGGCCAGGGTCTCATGGGCTACCAACTTGGCATTTCCAATCTCTAACTAGCCTTATCTATGGCCTATATATGGTTGAGAGGATTGGTTTTTTATTCTTGGGCCAATACAATCTTACCGTCTACTTTAGTTGTCTTCCCAAACCAGCAGTTTTGTTCCCCTGTATTTGGCTGGGCCATGGTTATGCAAACAGAAACCATTTCCATGAATAGGAAGAGCTTGACCTCCAGGGATGGCACCAGTCCAGGTATATCCTAGAAAGGAGATCTCTCTGTGGTGATGTCCAGTCCATAGCTCAGGGCAAGAGGGGTAGGTCCATCCTTCTCTGTACCTGTTAATTATGGGAACTAGAGAGATGGGGGGGGGTTGGGGGGTAAGTATCATAGGGTACCTAGCTCCCTGAGGGGGTGATGCCCAGAAAGTCCCACATGAAACTCTGTGGGAGCACTCATCAGAGCACAATTTGACTTGACTGAGACTTTGGCGGATGCCAAAGGCATAAATGGAATCAAACAGGTTGAAGTGTAAAGAGTCTACCTTATCCTGGGAAGATGATCCCAGAATCTATCCTGTTTTCCATTTGGTGCCTTGTATCATCTAAGTAGACTCTGGACCCATACCCGCCTGAGTAGAGAGATCTGGTAGAGATTTAGATGTGAGCGAAGGCAGCAGCCTGGTAGAGATTTCCCCAAGAGCCAGAATGTGAGGAAAGCTGGGGTCAGAGCTTGAGCTACTCCCTGGGTAGGGAAAGGAAGAAGAGCCAGCAAAAGATTCTGAGACACAAGACAAGCAAAGCAGCAAGAGGAAGCTGAGGTCACAAGAGATGAAAATATGTCGGCAAAATTTCAGCCAAGACAAACTAATATGGACTCTCTAGTTTTAGCTTTATAATGATTTTTCAAGAACACTTTTGGGGGGCTGAGGTTGTGGCTTAGTGGTAGAGCATTTGCCTTGCATGTGTGAAGCACTGGGTTCAATTCTCAGCACCGCATATAAATAAATGAATAAAATAAAGGTCTATCAACAACTAAAACAATATTTTTTAAAAAAAAGAACACTTTTGGGGAAGAAGTGGCAACGGATTGAAATGGCAAAAAACAAGGCAGGAGAGCCTATGAGGGTAGATGGCTTGAAGAACTTGACTGGAGGGAAAGGATAGACTAGAGGAATTTGGTCCTAGGAGGTATCTAAAGACAGGCAGCTTGTAAGTACCTAACTTCTGAAAAGGAGGGGATAGGGGCTTGGAGAGGGGAAACCCCTGAAGGGTCCTCAGGGCAGTTAGCGCATTCCATGGGGGGAAGTGCATCAAGTGTGGAGCAAGTCAGGGTGAAGTGGGGTAGGAATTCTAGTCAAGGTCTATGCAGTCTATAACTAGCCAAGGCACCACCATTTCTGTACTGGTCTCTGACTTCAACTGCCATCCCCTGAAAAGGCTGAAGGCTCTCTCTGTGGCCATAGGGAAGAGTTTACCCACAATCTGGAAAGGCCAGAAGTCAGGTAGGCCCCTAAATAGTTCTCCACCCATAACTAATGGGGATTTGAGAATGAGAACCTCAGCTCCCACTGCTCTGTAGGCCCATGTTCTACACTATCTTCTAAAATTCCCAGAAGGATCATGTGATGTGGTCCCAGTTGCCCACAGTAGTAACCTGCTTGATGATACCTTCTTTAGTGGCTGCTTTCCCTGTCTTTTTTTTTTTTTTTTAATTTTTTAGTTGTAGATGGACACAATACCTTTACTTTTTATTTTTACTTGGTTCTGGGGATCGAGCCCAGTGCCTCAGGCATGCTAGGCAAGCGCCGTACCACTGAGCCACAACCCCAGCCCATCCCCTGTCTACTTTCTACTCAGGTTGATGCTCTCTGACTTCATCACCCATACTAATGATATGCACTTGTATCTTTGCCTCCAATCTGCTGTGGGGAAAACACAGACACATACTCACACAATCTGTGAAAGAGGGACAAGGAACCCAGTGCGGTGGTGCATATATGTAATCCCAGCAACTGGGGAAGCTGAGGCAGGAGGATGACAAGTTTGAGGCCCGCCTCATCAGGTCTTTAGTGAGACCCTGACTCAAAATAAAAAACAGAGCTGGGGATGTAGTTCAGTGGTAAAGTGTCCCTATGTTTAATCACCAGTACCTTGAATAAAAGAAAGAAGAAAGAAAAAGAACAAAGCAGTGAACTGACACACTACTGCAAGGACCTCTTCCAGTAGGTAACCTCTGACTTATACAAGTGAGCCCCCAGCTCAAAGACTCAGGTAATATTCTGAATGCTCCAATGCTCCAAATGCTCCAAGGTCTGAGTCTGAGCTAGTTGGGTCCTTGCCACACCAATTTGCTCTCACCTAGATGCAGGCCTTGGAACCTAAAGATGCACAGTCTCAAAAGTACCTTGGGCCCCAGAGTAGCCTCAGTCTCAGACCTCACAGGATGAGACCAGTGACCCACCTGGGAGGGCTTCTGACCTCTGACTCTTCTAGTTCATCCTCTGCTCAGAGCTACTCAAGAATTCCTTCCACCCAGGCCTATGAGACCCTGAGGCCACTGTCTGCTCCTCCATCCCCTGCTGATCTTAATATGCACTACAGGATCTATTCTGCGCCCTGTTTTGTGCCCGGGTTAGGGCAATGAGCCCGCAGCCCCCGAATAGAGACCCTAAGTGGCCTCCAGAGGGCGCAGCCGAAAAGCCGGTAGTTGGGCTCCTCCAAACTCAACTGCTCTGGACTGGCGCCGGCCCCTCAAGCCCGCAGATTCCAGGCCTTGCTTACTCAAGCTGGGTCCGGCTCAGAACGACCCCTCACCATACGGGCGTTGTGCCGCGCTGCCTCATTTCTACTCCCGCCGGGGTCGGACCTTAAATCCTGGCAGGCCCACGTTCCACATGTCCATTTATTTGTTCATTTGTGTGTGTTCGTGGGTCGGTGCGCCCTTCTTCGGCCGCGGCACGTGCAGAGTTAAGGCGGGAGGAGGTTTCCCAGAGCCTGGGGAAGGGGGAGCGAGGGGCGGACCCGGTCCAGCCCCGCCCCACGCCCGAGCGGTGCGGGAGCCCCGCCGGAGCTCGGCTACAGCCCTAGCCAGAGCCGGCGTCAGCGGAGGCGGAACGGCGGACCCCGTGCCCCGGCGGCACGGAACCCCGGCGGGTGAGTCCCACGGGAGCCGCGCTCAGGGGAAGTTTGGGGCGTGGAGCGTAGACCCCCCAAGCGCACTTGCCCAGACCCGCCCCCACCTCAGCGAACTGGAAGTTTGGGGCCAGGAGGAGAACCATGGTCTGAGTGGAAACCCCCAGGTAAAGGGAAAGCTGAAGAACTTGAATCCCGCTCTTAAGGGACTGAGAAGTCCAGCTGCGCATTCCTGCAAGAAACGCCCTGGGTTCTGGTATCCTAGAGTCCTGTGTTCATGAGATTCCCCAAACCAGTACCCCCTTCTTCTAGACGCCAGGGAATCTGCTAGCATGGGAAATCCTTGAGGGTGAACCTCTAGGGGAGTGTGGATCCCTGGCACCCGGCCTCCTGAGCTTCAGATACCCCGGACCCTGGTCTTTTGCTGGCGAGAACGGTTGAACACTGTGAAATGGTGGTGTAAGGATACCCTAGAATCAGACTAGGGACAGCAGGTGGGGGACCAGAATGGATGGATCCCAGGCTGCCCAGGGCACACTGGAAGCCAGATTTAGCAGTACTTACCTCATGCAGAACCAGGATGAGGCTTGTTGAGAGGAAAGGAAGGGCACTGGGCTGGAGAGTTCTGTTCTAGTCACCTTCCTTCTACCTAGACTCAGATTGACTGAGTTGCTCCTAGTTGTTAGCACAGGGGTTGGGGAGGAACATCCCTCATGCCCCCATACAGAGGAGACCACTCTCTATGTCCTCCTTCCCACTCCAGAAGGTGTGCTAGTCAGAGGGGTAGGTCTTTCCCCTACTTTTCCCACCAGTGATTTTAGCCTGCCCTGCCTTCAGCAACAAGCTGTGTCTGTTTCCCTAAAGGATGGTTAGGAAGCCCCGACCCTGTTTTTCCTTTTCTCCTCCAGGTGGAGGCAATTCCCTGGACTGCTCAGACACTCCTCGCATCCTTGGCAGAATCAAGATGAGACTCTATCATGTCTCCCCAGTAAGGCCTACAGCCTGAGCAGATAGCATGGCCTGCCACAGCAGTGAATGACATGGCTGCAGGTGGTGGCTGCACCTTTGCTTGGCAGGTGTTTCCCCCCATGCCCACTTGCCGGGTGTATGGAACAGTGGCGCACCAGGATGGGCAGGTGCTGGTGTTGGGGGGCTGTGGCCGGTCTGGGTTACCCTTGGATACTGCCGAAACACTGGACATGGCCTCGCACACATGGCTGGCACTGGCGCCTCTGCCCACTGCCCGAGCTGGTGCAGCTGCTGTGGTTCTGGGCAAGCAGGTGCTAGTGGTGGGGGGTGTGGATGAAATCCAGAGTCCAGTAGCTGCTGTGGAGGCCTTCCTAGCTGATGAAGGCCGCTGGGAGCGTCGGGCCACCCTTCCTCAAGCAGCCATGGGGGTTGCAACTGTAGAGAGAGGTGAGTGGCTTCCCAAGGAAGGTCTCAAGGTGCCCCAAACCTTCTATTCTGTCCTGACTTGGTCCCTTGCTCTCAGAGACTAGACAAGAGCTGCCCAAACATTGCTTTGCTTCCTGTATCCTCTCATGTCTCCCTCTGAACTGGGCTGTTAACTGACTTTTCTGGCTATGAGGTGGGGACAGAACCACAGACAGGTCCCCAGAATGATAGGAGGTCTCAGCCAACACCCTGCCCCATTCCTCATTTCTAAGAGACAGTAGGGGGGGTGGCCTAATGACTCTCATGGTTATAAATAGTCTTGGGTGGGGGGAGGGAAGCAGGGCCTTGGCTCAGAGCCCAGCAAATGCTTAAGTGCTTAGACTCCCCCACTATATACACATACACACCAGGGATCCTCATATGGACAAAGGCCAAGCTGACCTGGAGATGGTTGCCATGGAAACCCAGTTGACAGGCACATCACCCCAAGACTACTAGACATGCACTTAGCTCATTCTGAGGGCTTAACAGAAGGCAGGAACCTAAGCTAGTGTAAGGGTATGGTGTAGAGGTGCTGGCAGGGAGACTGATGCTGAAGGCCTGTGGCCCGCACCTCTATCCTATAGGCTTAAGCCTTCTCCCAGCCCTGCCCCCACGCCAAGTGATCTCCAATCTTCTCCCTAGACTGAGCTTCATGCTAAGCAGATATTCATATGCCACCAACACCTGGTTTAAATGACCCCCAACAAGGAAGCCCCTACCTTGTGGCCTCCAGGTCTGACCACTGGCCTAGACCAGCCCTGCTTGGATGCCAGACTTGGTTGCTATAGCATCTCCAGGGAGACAGAGCTGGATTATAATTAGATCAGCCGCCTCCTGCTCTTCACTCAGAGGGGCCCTGGCCAGAGCGAGAATCCTACCTCTCCCAGCTTTCACCCCAGATGTGCAGCAGGTTTTAAACAAACACCATGGGTTTCCAGCCACTCCAGGCATGACTAGGGCAGCTGTCAGGGTGGGCTACCCTAGCTAGGCTGGAATGCAGTCTGAATTACTCTTTTTTTATGCAGATGGTATGGTGTATGCCCTGGGAGGAATGGGCCCTGACACGGCCCCCCAGGCCCAGGTACGGGTATATGAGCCCCGCCGTGACTGCTGGCTTTCGCTACCCTCCATGCCCACACCCTGCTATGGGGCTTCTACCTTCCTGCATGGGAACAAGATCTATGTCTTGGGTAAGGGTCTGGGAGATGTGAGAAAGGGGTTTAGAGTCCATCACCATATATTGGTGTGGGAGGGATCGCTCAGTCTGAGATGGCAGGTCTTGAGAAGCTTTGTTGGGATGATCCAGGACTACTCTGAGGCTCTGACTGCTGATGGCCCTGCTGAGGTTGGAAAACCAAACCCCAGTGCCTGAGCAACTGTGTGGTAGATGATCCACATGCGGATGTGCACACAGCTGTGCCTGGGAGGCTGGGGCAGACATATCTGCAACTTGGTGAATGAGGAGCCCATCAAGTTCCCTGGACTCTCTCCCCAAGTGTCCCAATTCCATTGGCAGGGGGCCGCCAGGGCAAGCTCCCAGTGACTGCTTTTGAAGCTTTTGATTTGGAGGCCAGTACCTGGACCCGGCACCCGAGCCTCCCTAGCCGCCGGGCCTTTGCTGGCTGTGCCATGGCTGAAGGCAATGTTTTTAGCTTGGGTGGTCTGCAGCAGCCTGGGCCCCACAACTTCTACTCCCGTCCACATTTTGTCAACACTGTGGAGATGTTTGATCTAGAGCATGGTAAGCAGTGGCTGTCCTGGGCTGTTCTCCTACTCTCTGTGGGACGGAGGGACATAGTGTGTATGTGTGGTTAGATATGACCTCCCCTCTCCTGCAGGGTCCTGGACCAAGCTGCCTCGCAGCCTGCGTATGAGGGATAAGAGGGCAGACTTTGTGGTTGGCTCCCTTGGGGGCCACATCTTGGCCATCGGGGGTCTTGGTAAGTCTTTGTGGGGCTAGGGAGAAGAAGGGAGCCCAAGATAGAAAAGAGTAGCCCCCAGCAAGAACACCCCCTTCTCTAGACACTCCAGAGGTCAGGAATTTGTGATCTCCCTTTCCTTATCTGTGACAAAAGCAGGTTGTGATCTGCCTGGCCCAGTGCCTGACTGGGGGGTCTATGTGCCATCAGGGCTCTAGGAGACAGAAACAAGACAAGCGATCACTGAATGCGTGGCCAAGTGGACAAATCAAAACATGAATGAATGAATGAATGAATGAATGAATTAACAAATGCTGAACAGGGACAATGAGGAGCAAGGCACTTGTAGCCTATCCTGGAGTGATGTCAAGGGCTATTTTTTGGGCTCAGTGAGCAAAAGGGCCTGGAACCCCCTTACAACTTTCTGTCTCTCCTACAGGAAACCAGCCATGCCCTCTTGGCTCCGTGGAGAGCTTCAGTCTTACACGTCGGCGCTGGGAGGCACTGCCTGCCATGCCCACAGCTCGCTGCTCCTGTTCTAGCCTACAGGCAGGGCCCCGGCTGTTTGTTATTGGGGGTGTGGCCCAGGGCCCCAGTCAAGCTGTAGAGGCACTATGTCTGTGTGATGGAGTCTGAAGGCCTGGTTGGGTCTGTTCACTGGAGCAGCTCAGTACAGGAGCAGGTGTCTGTGGCTCCATTTGCTGCTGAAGGAGCTCTATATGGCTGTGGGATGAGGGAGGCATATGGACAGGCACTTGAGGCATTCCCTTGGGGGCTTGGGTTAGGGAGCCTTTGTCTTTAGCATAGGCCAAGCATATGCTCACATCTAACTTTACCACAATTCATTCATGAACCATATCTAGCTCCACCCTTACCCAGGAGCCCCCTAGGCCCTGTGTCCAACAGGAAAGTGGGCTCAGGAGAGAGCTGGCCTTACACCCTGCAGGATAGGCATTGACTATCTCGAGTTAGCCAGAACCATCTAAGTGGTCATTCCTGAAAAATCCCAGCCTATCTTGAAGGTTCCTGAAGACCTAGGTATATTCAGAGAGGGTGAGGGACACAGAGGGAATGGAGGAAAGGACGTAAAAACTGCCAGAGGGCAAGAGGAATTCTGGCTTTGGGCCCTCTACGTTGCTGGTTGTATGACCTTGGGCAAGTCATTTCACCTCTCTGTGCCTCAACATCCTCGTCTGTGAATGAGGATCTCTGAAACCTTCCTACCCTACCTACCTCACAGGGCTGTTGTGAGGATCCAGGAATTTTGGATATGAAAGTAAAAGTATTGCTGAAATCTGATGTGGGGATCCTGGTGTGGACTCCCTGTTACCCTCATGGTCTCTGTCCTCCTTTCAGGGCTTCAACTCTCCCAGAGATAAGGGAGGTCTACAGGAAGCCTCTTGGATCTGGTCTCTATCCCCAAAGTGATCTGGTGTCTCTGCCCCACATAAGCCTCAGCTTTGCCTTAGGTGACATTGGATGACAGCCCTCTTCTACTATCTTGGATGTTCTGGACACAGGTAGGATGACCAGAGAAGAGCTCAGAAAATGAAACTTTACAGGGTTAGGATATACTCCATTCCAAGTCACATTGTCTCTTTAAGGCTTCAGCTCATCTCATAGGGAGGGGTGGTCTGGTGGGTCTCCCTGAGTGCTAGATGTGGGACAGCCATCTCTTGGGCAGGACTGTGGCCACTCACCAAACCTCTCAAGGGCAGCAGTATCCTGGAGGAAGCTGCCAGTCCTTCCCTCTTTCTCCAGCCTTTAATGCCCACAAGTAGGCGTCTCTGGCTTTGCTTTCCTTAAAGCTATACTGAGTACAAGGGGCTCACAGCTGGATTTACTGCAATTTCAAAGAAACATTTGGGTCCCTGGAACCAACTTACCATGGTCATGGTAACTGTCCTGGACTCTTGAGCCTCCTTCAGGCCTTATCCATTCTCACTTGGTGGCAGGGCTCCCCAGGGCAGCACCTCCCTAGCCCAACAGTCATGGACAGCAGTGCCAATGGCAGAGCACCACTGCTCACCAACCCATGAAACTTCTGTGTACAGACAGGTTGCTCTGTTAGCTGTCCTTGTTTAATGCTCCAGACCAGTTTAGACACTCAGAGACCCCACTGTAAAGATAGTGCTGTAGCATCTTGGGTCTTGGGATCCCTGGGAGGTCAGGCAGAATGTTGGTGACCGGTGTTTGGGGTCCTACCTTGTCACTACCACAGTGGCCACCCCGGGATGGCTGGCAGAAGTTTTGCTGGTAGGTGGTGCTCACATGGGGAGGCTGAACCTGCACAAAGTGGACGAGGCGCTGTGGGAAGCTACTGAATCCTGGGCCTGGCCGGAAATCGGACTGGTAGGAAGATTCCAGGGGCTGCTGGCTCAACTCCAGCTCGCAAGGTGCCCAGCGAAGGAAGGTGTGCCGCTGCCAGAGGCGCTCCAGGTCTTTCCGTCTTCCAATTCCCTGCAGCAGGCAGTAGGGGCCCTCCTCAACGGTATGGGCCCTTGGCCCACAGTCTTGGCACCAAGCATTTCCTTGGGCCCCATCTAATCCCAAATCTGTTTGGTGATGCCTAGCCCATACCTGGCCTCCCTGGCCTGTCCCCTGTCCTCATTGGCTTGCCTCCTCAGTGATGGGAACCATTCTGTTATGGAAATGGGGTCCTGAAAATCCAGTGGCCCCCAGCAGACTTGCATATCGTATTGGGGCAAGTTGGCAGAGGAAACCAAAACAGAGGTACCACTCTTAAAAGAATAAGAGATTTCCCAGAGGAGAAATATTGTGGGGGAAATAGGCACTCCTCTGCCTGTTTAAAGAACCCTCCCTTTCTTCAGGATCTTAATTCACTCCACCCTACCAACTGCTGTGTGCTCAACTTCCACTTGGGCTGGGGGATTGTCTCTTCTCTTGCCTGTCTGTAGCACTCACTTTGTCAAAAGAAGTGCGGTTGTCATGCTTGGAGAAAAAGTGTTGCTGTGCTGGTTCCTTGAAAAATAATGAGAAAGAAGGGGAAGGGGGGAAATGATGCTTACCTTCTCCCCCAGATATTGCCTCAGTGTCCATAATGGAGGGAAGCTTCAGGAGCTACCACTTCTAAACTGCTAAACTGTCAACACTCTGAAAGGTCAGAGACAAATTAAAGCAGTACCTTACTCCCTGGATATTTCATTCTGGGACTTTCCCTGAAGCAGTAGTTTCTGAGGCCACCGGTTGAGGAGTGGGCTGAGACATCTATCAGGACATCCTGCCATAAGTGGGGCCCTTTAACACTAGATTGCAAAGCCTTTTCTCTGTCCACACTTACTCCCTTTACAGCATAACCATGCTCTGAACCCTACATTCTATCTGGAACTACAATTTTTGTCTCTAGCTCAAGCTGTCTCCTGAACCCCAGTCTCAAGAGCCAACTGTCTTCCACATTTCCATGTCAACTCTTGATAGTATATCCAAACAACTTTGGATCATCCTCCAGACCCATTCTACCTACAGCCTCTCCCAGCTTAAGCAATGGCAGTTAGGTCCTGTCAAACACCTCAGAGTCCCCTTGGTTCTTTTCTCTCACATTCCACATTCAATGTACCAAGAAATCCAATTGATATTTCCTTAAAAGTGTATCCAGGATCAAATTACTCCTCAGCATGTCCAGACTTTTCTCTGGTCCAAACCACCTTATTTTCTTGCCTGAATTATTTCAAGAGCTTCCTGCCTGGTGTCCCTGCTTTCAAGCTCACCTTACCACCCTAATCTGTGGTCTTCTTAGTAGAAAGAAATTCTTTTAGTACATGAATCAGATCACATCTTGTTTGCCACAAAAGTTTTGCATGTTTTTTTTTTTTTGTTGTTGTTGTTGTTTTGTTCTTAGTTGTAGATGGACAGCAAGCCTTTATTTTATTTTTTTAATGTGGTTCTAAGGATTGAATTCAGTGCCTCACACTGGATTCAAGTGCTCTGCCACTGAGCTACAGCCCCAGCCCCAGTTCTTTGTGTTTGTAACAGCCAGAGTTATAGTAGTAGTTCATGAGACCCACATGATACTGATTTTTCCCTATTGATCCTACCTCCAGTCACAGTAGCATTCTCCCTGCTCCCCAAACATGCCAGATACTTCCTCCTCAGGCCTTTGCTCCACTAGTTTCTTCTGCTGGCCATGGAGTTCCCTTTTACTTACCTCTTGAGAGACATTCCTTTAGTTTTGTACCAGTAGTCCCATCTCCTCAACTCCATGTTTTCTGCTTCCTAACACACTCTATATAATGATATTGCCTGTCCTCCGATGCCTTTCATTGGAACATAAGCTCTTTGCTCTCTGCTTTGCTTACTCCAGCCAGGCATAGTAGTACAAACCTGTAATCCCAGCAGTTTATGAGGCCGAGACAGGAATATCACAAGTTTGATGCCAAACTTGTGATCAACGACTTAGTGAGGCTCTCAGTAACTTAGTGAGACCTTGTCTTAAAATTAAAAAAAATAAAAAGGACTGGAGATATGGCTCAGTGGTGAAGTGCCCTTGGGTTAAATAACCAGTACCTAAATAAATAAATAAATTTTATTTTATTTAGAGAGAGAATTATTTTTTAATATTTATTTATTATTTTTTTTAGTTTTCAGTGGACACAACATCTTTGTATGTGGTGCTGAGGATCGAACCCGGGCCACACGCCGAGTGCGCTACCGCTTGAGCCACATCCCCAGCCCCAATAAATAAATTTTAAAAAGTGGGTGGACCGTAATATCTAGAAAGGTAAAGTAATTTGCCTTGAGTTGAATATCAGATCTGGGACTCAAACACACTACATTATACTAGCTCACATCTCCTTGTACCTCTTCCTCTAATCATGCTTTGTAATTGTTCAATTTATCTCAAACCTAGGCAGCAGTTGATGAAGTGCAAATGAGAAATCACCAAAAAGTCTATAAACCAGAGGAAAACTGCTAGATTTACCACATCTAAAGAATGATGAACAAGAGAGGAGGGGAATTGAGAAAGTAGTTTTTCAATCATTACAATAATATCGGCCCAGCACCATGACACATACCTGTAATCCCAGTGGCTCTGGAGGCTGAGGCAGGAGGATCATGAGTTCAAAGCCAGCCTCAGCAAATTAGCAAGGCCCTAAGCAACTAAGTGAAATCCTATCTCTAAATAAAAATACAAAAAAGGGCTGGGGATGTGGCTCAGTGGTTAAGTGCCCCTGAGTTCAATCCCTGATACAAAAATTTAAAAATTAGCTAAAGAATAAAAATCCATCTTCAGTGAGAGATTATGCTGAAGGGATCAGGTATGGGTTTTTTTTCTTTGAGTTTGTAAGTGTGGGATCTTAAAAATTAAAAAAAAAAAAAAAGTAAGTCACAGAAACACGCATCTCCGCCCCAACACACACACACACACACACACACACACACACACACACGGTCAGGAATGTAGCTTAGTTGTAGAGCACTTGCCTGGTGTGTGGGAGGCCCTGGATTCAATTCCCAGTACCTCAAGTAAAAAAATAAGAGGAGGAGGAGGGGAATCAAGAGGAAGAGGAAGAAAAGAAGGAGAAAGAAAAAGAAAAGAAACAAAGTCTAGCCAAGCATGGTGTTGCATGACTGTAAGCAACTCAGACCCTCAGCAACTTGGTGAGATCCTGCTTCAGAATTTAGTGAGGTATGGTGGCACATGCGTATAATCCCAGAGACTCTGAAGGCTGAGGCAGGAGGATCTCAAATTCAAAGCCAGCCACAGTAATTTAGCAAGGCCCTAAGCAATTTAGTGAGATCCTGTCTCAAAAAATAAAAAGGGCAGACTGGGGTTGTGGCTCAGTGGTAGAGTGCTTGCCTAGCATGCATGAGGCACTGGGTTCAATTCTCAGCACCACATATAAATAAGTAAGTAAAATAAAGGTCCATCAACAACTAATAAAAATATTTTAAAAAATAAAAATAAAAAGGGCTGGGGATGTGGCTTAGTGGTAAGTGCCCCTCTGTGCAATCTTGGGCACAAACAAAAGAACTCAAACAACAACAAAAAAATTATAAATAAGGGGCTGGAGATGTGGCTCAAGTGGTAGCGTGCTCACCTGGCATGCGCGGGGTGCTGGGTTCGATCCTCGGCACCACATAAAAATAAAATGTTATGTCCACCGAAAACTAAAAAATAAATATTAAAAAAAGATACTGTGTCCACCTAACACTAAAAAATAAATATTAAGAAAATATAAATAAATAATTCAAATTGAAAAAGGAGAATGGAGATGCAGCTCAGTGATAAAGCACTCCTGGATTAAATACCCAGTACCCCTCCATCCACACCCAAAAAAAAAAAAGAAAAGAAAGAAAGAAGATCTACATGAAAAGGATGAAGACTAGAAGGAAAATATTTATAAACCACATACCCAATAAAGGATTTGTATATAGAATTTATAAAGAACTCTAACATCTCAACAGTAAAAATACAATCTAATAAGAAAATGGGCAAACAATATGAAGATTTTTTCATCAAACACAATGTGCATCTGAAAAATAACACATTAAAGAATTTTCAACATCACTAAACAATAGGGAAATAGAAATCAAAACTACAGTGAAATATCACTACATATCTACTGGAATGGCTAAAGTTAAAAATAGAGATGTGAGTGAGAATGCAGAGAAACTAGATCATTCATGCATTGCTGGTGGGAATGTAAAAATGGTACAGCCATTCTGGAGAAGAGCTTGACAGTTTCTTTAAAAAAATACATGCAACTACCATCTGACCCAGCAATTGTACTTCTGGGCATTTATCCCAGAGAAATGGAAACTCATGTTCACCAAAAAAATATGTGCACAAATGTTCATAGCAGCTTTATTTATAAAAAGCTCAAAGCTGGAATCAGCTCAGATGTCCAATAAGTGAATGTTTAAACAAATCAATACATATGTGCCATGGAATACTGTTCAGTAATGAACTGAATTTTTGATACACTCAATGGATCTTGGATAACTAGGAAATTATACTGAGCAAGAAAACCTCTCCAAAGGTTGAATATTGTATTATTCCATTTTAAAAAATATTTATTTTTGATTGTTCTTGGACACAATGCCTTTATTTTATTTATTTATATGTAGTGCTGAGGATCGAACCCAGGACCTTGCACGTGCTAGGCAAATGCTCTACCACTGAATCACAACCCCAGCCCCTGTATTATTCCATTTATATAGCAATTTTTCCCAATATTGAGGGTTGAATCCAGGGGACACTTTACCACTGATTTACATTTCTAGACCTTTTTATTTCTTTTAATTTGGGGGGAGAAGGGAGTGCTAGGGATTGAACTCAGGGGCACTCAACCACTGAGCCACATACCCAGCCCTATTTTGTATTTTATTTAGAGACAGGGTCTCACTGAGTTGCTTAGCACCTCACCGTTGCTGAGGTTGGCTTTGAACTCTCGATCCTCCTGTCTCAGCCTCCCTAGCTGCTGGAATTACAGGCATGAGCTACGCGCCCCGGTTTGTTTGTTTGTTTGTTTGTTTATTTATTTATTTAATTGATTGATTGATTGATTGATTTTTGGTATTGGGGATTGAGCTGCATACTACTAAACTACATCCCCTGTCCTTTTTTTTTCTTTCCTTTTTGGTACCAGGGATTGAATCCAGAGGCACTTAACCATTGAGCCATATCCCCAGCCCTTTTTTATTTTGAGACAGGGTCTCAAATAAAGCTTATATAAATAAGCTGCACAGATTTTTTTTTGTTGCTTAGGGCATCACTAAATTGCTGAGGCTGACTTTGAATTTATAGTATTCCTGCATCAACCCCACAAGCTGCTGGGATTACCATGTATAGCTGTTTTTGTTTTTGTTGTTGTTTGTTTGTTATTGTTTGTTTATTTGTCTTTTTTTTGGTGACAGGATACTCACTAAGTTACCGAGGATTTCTCACAAGTTACTGAGACTGGTCTTGAACTTACAATCTTTCTGCCTCAGCTTCCTAGGTTGCCAGCATTATAGTTTTGTGCCATTGCATCTGGCTGTATTTTTATTTTGAGACAGGATCTCACTAAGATGCCCAGGCAGGTCTCAAACTTGTTATCTTCTTGCCTCAGCCTCTGGAATAGTTAGAATTATAGGCATGTGCCACAGTGTCTGCTATATGGCACTTTAAGTGACAAAAATTTTAGAAATGGAGGAGAGATTGGTAGTTAAGATCAGAGAAAGTATGCAAGAGTGGGAAGGAGTTGAGTTGGTAATATAAGATCAGCACCAGGGATCCTTGTAATGTTAAAGATGATAAAATTTGGGGGCTGGGGTAGCTCAGTGGTAGAGTGCTTGCCTCTTGTGTGGAGCACTGTTTTCTTCGATCCTCAGCACCACATTAAAAAAAATTGTTCATCTTCAACTAAATAAATATATTTTTAAAAAGATGATAATATTTTATAGATCTCTCTCTCTCTCTCTCTCTCTCTCTCTCTCTCTCTCTCTCTCTCTCACACACACACACACACAAGTACAAATGAAACTGGGAAATCTGAATGAGATTGCATCAGTATCAATGTCCTGGTTGTGGACTGTAGCTTTGCAAAATGCTAACATTAAGGAAACTGGGAAGTGTAGAGGTGATTATTATTTCTTACAACTGCTTAAGAATCAGTCAGGTACAGTGGCGTCCGCCTGTAATCCCAGCGGCTTGGGAAGCTGAGGCAGGAGGATTGTGAGTTCAAAGCTAGTTTCAGCAGAAACGAGGTGCTGAGCAACTCAGTGAGACCCTGTCTCTAAATAAATTACAAAATAGGGCTGGGATGTGGCTTAGTGGTCAAGTGCCCTGAGTTCAATCCCTGGTACCAAACAAAACAAAACAAAAGAATCCAACAAGTTCCTGTTGACCTCCAATTTTCTCCCCTGTCTCTATTCTCAGCTGCAGAATTGTGCATAGCCTTACAACAAATGGCTCAGTTGTTGGAGATAGCTCTGATTCTGGAAACTCACTATTTCTACAGTGGCAGGATAATATATGAGCCTGATTGGAGTTTTGCTCTCACAATTGTGGGAGCCTGTTGAGAAGAATAATCACACCCTCTCTCCCTAGGCAGTTCTGGGTTTTCTTGCTCTGTTATCTTTGTTTCTAAACTGTTCAGGGCTCCTTTTCTACAGAGGTGGTAAAACCCATAAATAGGAAGGGCTAGAGCTACAATTTCTTTATTTTTATATTTATTTTTTAGTTTTTTTTTTAAGAGGACACAATATCTTTATTTTTTATTTTTATGTAGTGTTGAGGATCGAACCCAGCACCCCATGCATGCCAGGCGAGTGTGCTACTGCTTGAGCCACATCCCCAGCCCTACAATTTCTTTTTTAATAGGACTTGGAGGTAGGTTTCCTGAGAGGAGGCAGCATTTATAAGTTGAGGCTTAAGGACCTTGTAGAGGCTGGACAGTCTGTATTCAGTAGGGTTCTGAGAGAGGAGCCTCTATGTCAAACTGAGGTGTGGGGCTTAGTAGAGACACAGTAGTTATGGCACCACAGATGAAGGACCTGACCTCATCCATGAGTCTGGGACTCTTGTCTGACTAAGGATTACATTTCCTAAGAGTCAGGTAGGTGAAGGCAATTTGGTTTACCAGAAAAATGAAAAAAAAAGTTTTTGTTTCTGAATATCACAGA